CCCTATCTTCAGGAGCCGGGGTGGCAACTCGTACGTGGATCGAGGTACGCTCGACGAGCCGTGGTGAGGGAGTGCGAGACGCGCGAAGAACATGGGGGTAGAGACGATAACTCGATGAAGGACGAGCAGAGGAGGGAGATGGAGATGAGTGTTGCGCGATAGAAGAAGGCAACAACATGACATATCGGGAGTGAATGAGGAAGCGTGTGCGGAATGAGGGAGCAAAAAAAAAAAAAAAAAAAAAAAAAAAAAAAAAAAAAAAAAAAAAAAAAAAAAAAAAAGATGATGATGATGATGAGGAGGAAGAAGAAGAATGGGAAGGAGGAAAAACAATGGGAAAGAAAAGGAGGGCTGCGTAGCTTACTAGGCTTACCCAACGTGTGCTACACTGATGAATCCAGTGAGTGGATTTCCTCGGTTGAAAGGCCCGGGTAACCTTCCAATGGTTCATCGTGATGGGGATAGATTGTTGTAATTATCGATCTTGAACTAGTAATGCCTAGTCAACGCGGGTCATCAGCACTCACTGATTAAGTCCCTGCCCTTTGTACACACCGCCTGTCGCTCCTATCGATTGAATGGTCCGGTGAAGTGTCCGGATCGCGGTGATCTCGTCACCCTCGCTCCTGCCGATTGAATGGTCCGGTGAAGTGTTTGGATCAGGGCGAGTTTGGCGGTTTGCCATCGAGGGTGTTGTGAGAAGTCCATTGAGCCTTTCCATTTAGGGGAAGAAGAAGTCGTAACAAGGTTTGGCTTACTCTCCGCAGTAGAAAGAAGAGCGACACATAGTTAGAAAGGAAGAAATACGCAAGGGGGAGGTTGCACGCTCGTGCGAGCGTAAGGGAGGCAACCGCATGCACATTGCGAATAGATACAAGTAGTTTCTTTCTATTGTTTATTTTTAATTTGGCTAGTTAGTTTCGAGATTCTTATTAAATTATTTTCTTCTTATTATTTATTTATTTATTTATTATAATAATAATAATTATTATTATTATTTTTTCTTTTACTAAGATGATTTGCCTGATAAATCTGTTGCCGAAAGCTGGACAAATTCAGATCTATTAACAAAAGTTGAGTACGCACACTGAAAGGGGCAAGTGAGCTAGTCGGCAACGAGGAGAAGGCAACGCGCAAAGCAGAGGAGTGGTGTGACGACAAGGGCTAATACACAGACGAAAAGTAAAGCGGATGCACATACAAAGTAGGAGGAAAAGAAGAAGAAGAAGAAGAAAAGACGGAGGAGAGGAAGAAGAGGGAGGTATGCTTACCGTTCTCGCACGCACGTCCTCCCCATCATAATGCTTCCAATTATTTCACACCTTTCAAGTCATTTCACAGAATCAGATCAGAGTCAAGCTCTACGGGGTCTTCATTTCCCACTGATTCTTCCCCTATTGAGGCGTAGGATTTTGATTGGAGTGCTGAGTGAATCTGGCGACGATCGTAGCCAGGTACAGCGCCTGGGATAGTGTTGTTCAGAAATGGGAAGAAGAAGAAGGTGGAGGAGAAAAAAGGGTTAAGCAGAGAGAGTCGGTTTGAGTATGTTGTCATCATGACCAAATGGTGTGAGGGTAATCTCACGATTACGCCAACTCTATTCGGAATGTACGTGAATGGTCAGGTGCATGCTAAGGAGAAAGGGAGTTAACGAGAACTGCCAAGGTAGGCAGTTTGAAGGCACGAGGGACCTTGCTCTTCTAGGTATCCATGTCCGTGATCATGATTCATGTCTACGTCCATGCTCTCCGTAGGGTTGTGTTGCTATGTGTCACTACTTAGTACTTGCAATCGAAATCCTATTTAGCTATATTCGTAGTCAGATGCATGATTGTACTCGTGGCAGTGTATCACGGTTCACACTCGTGATCTTATTGGTATTCCTAACGAGGGACACTCACCATAGATTATGCTTCATCTGGCCACTGGGGTTTGCCTCATTTGTTCGTGTGATTCTTCAGTCCGGTATTGCCCGGATAGGTTGCTCTTCTTCTATCTGACACGTGCCCGATCTTGCTTGTGGTCAGGTTCGTGCATGAACGTCAGACACGTGACCAGAATCGCAGGGAAAAACAAGAGGGCAAACGAACGGGCCAGATCATGAGTGTGTGTGTGCGGCACTGTGCTGTGAATGAGTATGGATTCTTGCTCATTTTCTCTCTCTCTCAAAATGTGCATTTCTTATGGAACGGTTATCACTTCCCATACTTGTTGACTACAATTTCAGCTAACCTCTTGTAGGAGTTATTACAATCTGTCCTCCCCCACCCCTTGACACTTTCAAGCGTGTCAATATGATTTTCCACTCTCTCTTTCTCGACCAGGTTTTGGCTTACTCTTTACACCGGTTCTAACTTTCGTTTGCTTTGCATGAGGACGCTTTCAACAGAAAAATTGTGGCAAATTTTTGGCCTTGATGAACATATGTGGACACCATATTTCAACCGTTGGAACTGTGTTTATAAACTGTTTGGCGGGGGGGGGTCATGTGTCCGACCAAAAGTCAAGGAAACCAACGCTGACCAAATATTGAAAAAACTGAAACTGGTGTGTTCATCTGTTGGTCCAACTGTTGAAATGATGTTGGTCCAACTGTTGAACAATTGTTGAAAACTTGTTGAAAAGTTGTTGGAGAGTTGTTGAGAGTTTGTTGAAAGGTGTTGAAAACGTGTTGAAACTTGTTGAAAACTTGTTGAACTGTGTTGAAAGCTTGTTGAAACGTGCTGAAACGTTTCACCTTTCGTGTATGGTCCGCGTTATGTATGGGGGGAAAAATTCATTTCGCAGTGCTCATGTCGTGGGTTTTCGCGGTTTGTTCCCCTCCTTTTCTCCTGCTGGACGATTCGCTATGCAATTTCACAAATGCCATGTGTTGGGTCTTCTGAAGGACCTCGCATGCGACAAAAGCAATGACTGAAATGAGAGAGAGAGAGAGAGAGAGAGAGAGAGAGAGAGAGAGAGAGAGAGAGAGAGAGAGAGAGAGAGAGAGAG